TATTAATATATTTTACATTTAATTATGATAATATTATTTATAACATTTAATATTTTACATTTAATTATGATAATATTATCATAATTATTTCACGTTTAATTATCATAATATTTTGTTTCAAAGTTTAAACATTTATTGGCGAGAGACATCTTTCTGTCAATCAATAACGCTACAAAGCCTAGATACGCACTTGATTTGTTCTTTACAACATTATCCTTAATTTTAAATATCAAAACTATAAATACAATATTAGTGGTTTAAACTAAAATATATTGTCCTCTCATGTCTCGATATTTTGGTTATAAAAAACAAAGATTCCCTTAAATCAACCAAAGTTGTTTCTAGAAAGTCTCTTATCAACAAGAAGTGACCAAAATCACCATTGTACTTACTACTACAAAGCTTATTGCTTTTATTACATTTACAAAACCAAAATGATCATTATAAATCCCTAGAAATAGAAATGAGAATGATGAATGACAGCTGTTGACTTGGTCTGTTTATTAAAACATTATACAACCACATAAAGAAATTATTAATGTCATCATAAATACAAGAAAGTCAAAAGGGAAGGAGAATGCTGAAGCCTAGGCCTTAAAAAAGCCCTTGCCTTTTTTTTGCAGCAATTCTCAAGAATCCAAAGAGCAAAAATCAAAGTACCTCAACGCTCAACCCTCTTTCTTTTTTCCCTTTTTTCAAGGGACGGTTACAAAGTCCACAAGAAAACCTAAAACCCTTCTTCACACTCGATACACACATCTAATTTTAGTATCTCTGTGTTTACACATCCTATTTATTCATCCCCAATTTCATTTTGTATTGTGCTTAGCTTTCTTCTGAATTTGGAAGATTTGCGATCGGTAAGTTCAAATTCAGAATTACCCATTCGCTGATTTTTCAAGAAATGGTGAAAATTTTGATTTGGGGTTGTTTTTATGTTGGTCATCAGAAACTTTTGTTTATTATTTTTTGAATTTTTTTTTTCTAATTTGTTGATGTTTTGATTACTCACAGATACCGAAATTGAAGGGGTTTTTTGTTAGAAAAAGTGGTTGATGTCAAGTTGTAGATTCAGGTGTTAAGGGTGGCTGAATTACTCCATGGGTAATTTATGCTGCAATTCCGTTTCAAAGGTGAAAATCGTTAATCCTTTTTTATAATTTGCTTCCAATTTCATGTTTTTAAGTAAAATTATGAATTTTATATGTTAAATTCCTGTCATAATAAGCAAATTAACTAAATTGGGTGTGGAAATTGCTATCGTATGCTATAGTACTTCTGCAATCGATCATCAAAAATTGTGCTTCGTTTCTATTTCTTTCTATTTCGTTTATAATTTTTTTAACTGTTTATCAAATTATAATTTTCAATTAGGGTTTTTGTCAACCATTTTAGGATCAAGAAGTGTGAGAGTCGCGGAGTGAGTATTTGTATATAACTTTTGTTTAATTTCATTTTTAGAAATCTCACAAAAAAATTCAACTTTTTTTTAGCATTCTTTATAAAGCTAAAACTACATATTTGCCTATAATTATCATCATAAAGAATTGGTATCCATTTTTGCCTACAAGATTCCCCTAATTTCCTATATTTTAAGATTATTTTATACATTTTGACTGATTTATGAACTATGAAGTATCTATCAAAGTCAAACCTTTATAAGATGGAGTTTGGTAAGATTTGAACCCTAAAAAAGGTTGCCAAGTTTGACCCTTATGGAATTTCAAAAGTTTAATGCTATTTGTATCCCATTTTGGGATTTATCAAATCCTGCAAACGTGTTTTTCGGTTGACAAATCAATAATTATCCAATTTTCTTCGTGTATAAATTTCGTCATCAATTTTATAAATTTTATTCCAATTATTGAGCCACCATTGTGAAATCCTTTATAGTGAGGTCATATCAATTGTCGTTTTCGATAACAAGATCACGTTGGTTGAGCCGCTATTTTGGTGCATTTGGATTTTTTTTTAATTTATAATATGGTCAAACTTTTGTCGCAAATGTACGTATAGTGTGTGATCTTTACAAAATGAAAGTAATTTTGTTTATAAAGCCTAACTATGACTATTAGTCTAAATGTATAAGGTGTTGTTTCTTTTTGGCTTAATGGGGACACGACTTAATTTGTTAAGCTATATATTAGTGTTTCTTTCTTGCTTAATACAGAAAGAAGGACTTAACAAAAATAGTTAGGGAATTGAGGGCTTCCTCCATAAGTCCTAACTTATTAAAAATTTATCATCATTTACTTTTTCCTTCCATTTTGTTTCAAATATTTTTCTTAAACATCAAAGTCAAGAAATAATGCAGTGTCAAATATATAACCTTTACCTAGAAAATTTACCAGGAAAAGTAAATTTATGAATTTGTACTCCCTTCATCCTATTTAAGTTTGAGTTTTTTACTAGTCTTAAAAGAGAATTATTTGTTTACTAATCAAATGTTTTGAACAACCTTAATAAAGTCAACAAAGATTCTTTTTTGATCCAAATAAATATAAAATAGGGCTTAATGCATGTTTACGCAACGACGTTTCACCTTTTTCCTCTTTATGCAAAAAAGTAGTTTTTTATTTCATTAAAGCACACTTACATTATTCTAAATTGGTGGAAAAATGTTACCTTGTTACATTAATTTGCAAAATAGTGAAACATTATTACATAAATAAACATTTAAGGTAATTGATTTTGGTTACAAGGTTGCATATTTTGGTCTTGTAACAAAAAGTGATTGCATTTTTCGTCTTAACCACCACTTTATTACATAAATTAAGAAAAAAAGTGAATCACCATTGTCCATTGCATAAACAACCATTTAACTTGTATAAAATTGATAATCAATTACTCATAATAGGCATATTGGTTTGTTAACTACAAAGAATGTGATATTCTCATGGAATATCTCTATACACACACTATATCAATATCCAAATGAAAAACCTCCCAAGATGTACACAATGTTATTTTATTTTTGAGTAAATTACACGAATGGTCCCTATGGTTTGGGGTAATTTGCACGTTTGGTCCCTAACTTATTTTTAACTCGGAAGGTCCCTACAATTTGTTTTTGTTGCGTGCTTGGTCCCTGTTTTACCTAAAAAGACTATTTTGCCCTTGATTTTTTAATTTATTTAAATAAAGTGGGGTAGGTAAGGTAAGGTAAGGTGAGGTGGAAGTGGGGTTGGGGTGTGTTTATTTAAATAAATTAAAAAATTAAGGGCAAAATAGTCTTTTTAGGTAAGACAGGGAACAAGCGCGCAATAAAAACCAAGAGTAGGGACCTTCCGAGTTAAAAAAATAAGTTAGAGACTGAACGTGCAAATAACCCTAAACCATAGGGACCATTCGTGTAGTTTACTCTTTATTTTCCAGTTTCCATTTTCCATATAACTATTATACTACCTAAAGAGTTATAATTTGGGATCATGATTCATTAATTTGACCTATTTAGGACTTTATCTAGATTGATAGTTCTAATTTTTATTTCATAACGAGCAAAAAGTAAACAAAATCTTTTGTCTTTTTTAGTTTGCAGGCGGCCAATCATCACATGGCACGGGTAAGGGGCGGGGCCACCAAGGATCCATCAAATATGGATTCAACTTAGCTAAAGGGAAAGCTAATCATCCAATGGAAGATTACCATGTGGCAAGATTTATTCCTCATCAAGGACATGAAATTGGACTATTTGCTATATATGATGGCCATTTGGGAGATAGTGTTCCCGCATATCTTCAAAAGCATTTATTCTCCAATATCCTAAAGGAGGTTTAACTTTTATTACTACTCATCATTCCAAATTTGAAACATTCCGAGTTAAAATTACCTTTTTGCCCATTATCATTGTTATAAATGAAGTTGATGGTTTTGATTTTGGATCCATGAGATCCCTTTTTTTGTCTTTACAAAAGGGCATTTTAGATATTTGAGAAATGGTCAAAACATTTTGCTTAAACTATGGGACATAACAAGCTTTTTTTCTTGGGCTATGATCAATGTCGAACTAGGAGGGCATTAATGTCTTTTGAACACACATGAATTTGAGAGAAAATCTTTGTCCTACCTCTTTGAATGGGACAAAAAATAAAAAAATCTTTGTTAAATTGACATGATTGTACTTTCAGTCTAGTGCACGTCAAACACAGTACAACTACAAGGGCATTAATGTCTTTTCAACACGTGAAATTTAGAGCAAGTTTTTGTCCTACCTTTTTGAATGAGACAAAAAAATTAAAAATCTTTGTTCCATTTACATGAGTGTACTTTCAAATGCATGTCGAACACAGTACAAGCTGTCATGTCATGTCATGTCATGCTCAGTTTGCATCGAGTTAAAATCTCTTTAGGGAAATCAAATATATACTTTTTGAAGAACTTTATCATGATTCGATCTTATTTTTTTGGTGTTTTTATAGGGTGAATTTTGGACAGATCCTAGTAGGGCAATTTTGAAAGCATATGAAAGAACAGACCAATCGATTCTTTCTCATAGTCCTGATTTGGGAAGAGGTGGATCCACTGCAGTTACTGCACTTTTAATTGATGGTAGAAAATTATGGGTAGCAAATGTTGGAGATTCTCGGGCAGTTCTTTCAAAAAAAGGGCAGGCCATTCAAATGAGTGTTGACCATGAACCCAATACTGAAAGGGGCAGCATTGAAAACCGCGGAGGTTTTGTCTCCAACATGCCAGGTCATCAATCTTTCATATTATATCCAAAAAAAACAGCAATGCACTTTTTTAATTTTATAGCATCTTTCCTATTATAGTAACATTAACATGATTGTGCAAATCAATTTTTGTTGCTATAATTGGGTATGATTTTAGAAGTATAATGTTTTAGAGTAAATTACACGAACGGTCCCTATGGTTTGGGGTAATTTGCACTTCTGGTCCCTAACTTATTTTTTTAACTCGGAAGGTCCCTACTGTTTGTTTTTGTTGTACGCTTGGTCCTTGTCTTACCTAAAAAGACTATTTTGCCCTTGATTTTTTTAATTTATTTAAATAAACACACCCCCACCCCACTTCCACCTCACCTTGACTTACCTACCCCACTTTATTTAAAAAATTTTAAAAATCAATGGCAAAATAGTCTTTTTAGGTATGACAGACCAAGCGCGCAACAAAAACAAACAGTAGGGACCTTCCGAGTTAAAAAAATAAGTTAGGGACCAAAAGTGCAAATTACCCCAAACCATAGGGACCATTCGTGTAATTTACTCAATGTTTTTATGATTCTTAAAACATAATGAAACATGTGCTTTTGTGTCATGAGTAATTTCAGTCTTTATTTTTAAATTCAATGAGTCGTTTATACCAAATCTAGCAATATTTGAATGGGAAATCTTCAATGAAGTTGTCCTGATATTTTGGGCAAGTTTACGGTTTAATCCTAACTTTTATTTTTTTTTTAACAGAAAAGTTCTGATTATTTTATATTTTGCCCAAATTAACGAAACTGCCCTTATTTTTTTTTCAACAAAAAACGACAGATTGTCGTATAAAATTAGATAACTGCGACTTTTCTGTTCAAAAAATAAATGTTGTTGGGATAAAACCAAAATATTGGGACTTTATCAGAGATTTCCCTTATTTGCATACTCTTTTGTTACCATATTTATATGTTTCATTTCTTTCATTTTACATCCTTTTTGATAAACTTCAAACAATAAGCACAACTTTTCCCTAATCTTCTTGGTGAATTCTATCTAAACATGATCCAATTTGTTACAAATAATGGGTTTTTTTTTTCCGTTTCTTGAGATATAACAAAAAGTTTACTTTTTTATTGAATATATATTAAAATATAATATGATAATATGATATTTACAGGAGATGTAGCAAGAGTGAATGGACAACTAGCAGTTTCACGTGCTTTTGGGGACAAAAATCTCAAGAATCATTTACGTTCTGATCCTGATGTAACAAATTCTGATATTGATGCAACTACTGAAATTCTCATTCTTGCTAGTGATGGATTATGGAAGGTAATTTTATTTATTATTTATTTTTATCATGAAAATGGCAAATTAACTCAAAAATATAAGGTCTTTTTGACATTAACCCTTTATTCAATGAAAGTATGTTGATATTTCTCAAGAAATATGTTTTTCTTTCACATCAAGAACAAAGTTTGAATGTTGTGAAAGTCAAACAAATGATTTTAAAGTCAAAGATGCTCTAATTTATGCTTACTTTTTCAGGTTATGACAAATCAAGAGGCAATTGACATAGCAATTAAGATCAAGGATCCACAGAAAGCATCAAAGGAACTAGTGGCAGAAGCATTGAATAGAGAAAGCAAAGATGATATTTCATGCATTGTGGTTCGTTTTAGCTGAAGAAAGAGGTATAGCTTTATGGGGTGGTACTATGTGCAGTATAAGGTGTACATTTGGGGGGTTTAAGACTTTAAGTTTGTGAGTTGCAACTCAAATAGAGTAAAAAAAGTTCCGAAATTTGGGCATAAAAAAGGTAGCTAAGTTATATATATATATATATATATATATATATATATATATATATATATATATATATATATATATATTATAAAATATTATAAAATATATGACTCATCCTTGGTTTTCTTTTTTTCTTTTTAAGAAGTTGAAGTTGTACTCAGGATTGTGAGGTTTGTTATTGTTTAATTTCTTGAATGCTTAGAATATATTATACACAATCTGTTTTTTGTGTGATTTGATTTTCTTGTTCATGGGTATGAACCAAAATCGTTAAAAATATCATCTTTGTTGTTGTTTTGAGATCTCAAGATAAAGGGTTTTTGAAATGCATCTTCTTTTTTGTTTTTCTATAACTGATTTCAAAATGCCTTGTATTTATCAAGATGATTTGAACGTTTGTTTTACTCATAATCTTCGATTTGAAATGTATTTACAAGTTTAAATTGTAAATGGAAGACTTGGTTTTGGAGCAAATGATAATTGAAATTGATGAATGTTACGATGTCTTTAGAGTATGAGGGTGACAAAAGATTGAAGAAATAATCACAAAATTAATCAGGAGACATGGTATCAAGGTATGATTATTTTTTCATAGTTATTAGGACTTATTTGCAAAAAAAAGAAAAAGATAATAATAAATGAAACCGTTTATGAGATTCCTATTTCGCAAAACTACTTTTCTTATGTAGTTTATGTTTTTCGAACAGTTTGCAAAATTTCTTTAATATCGGGAATTTTGTTTTACTGACCATATTAGCAAAATTTGCCTACCTTTTTTTTTTATAATTCAAAGTAATTTTAGTTTTTCAAAAACAATTTACTTTTGCAAAATTTGAAGATTTTGGTTATATTATATAGCTTGCACTTTAATAGAAATCAAATCACAAAACAAAAAAGTTTAGGGTGGAGGTTCATCAACCCTCCTAATCCACCTCGCCATCACCAATCAATTTTTCTCTATTCTCTCACTTCCATTTTTTTTAACCCACAATATAAATAATCCATATTTTGTAACCCACTCCCAACATACAAGTAAAAAAACATATGTTATACGCACTAGAAATGAGAAGAGAATGAGTTAACAAAATAGTGAACCCCGCCTATCCTCAACTAGCTGAATACGTTTTGTCGCCTGATCTAAGACAAAAAAACACACTTTGTACACCAAATTAAAATACATCTTTGTATTGGGTGGTGGTGGCTGGTGTGTGTGGAGGGGTGGGGTGGGATGACAAGATGGGTGGTTGGTTTATGTGCATAATAATTAGTGTTGATATCTTCCAAAACTACACTATATTACATACATCTCACTATATATATATATAT